TTTTAACTCTGTGTGGCCATGGCAAGACATAATAGTGTATGGGTTATAATAGGACAGTCCTTTTTTTGATGTTACTAAATGCTATTAATTTGCCAAAATGACAGACTGCTGAAAAAGAGGTCACCAGATGGCTCAACCCAAACTTTGAAAGTTTTCCAAGACATGCTGAATCAGAGACCAATACAGTTGACCAAACCATTCCATTATGTCTAAATTCTATGTAATATTTTGCCAAACCAAAAGGAAAATGTTGCTATACGGGAAGTAGAGTGTGAGTCTACTATGACGTATAGCATTTAGAAACCCAAGTAAGAAGAAACATATTTGGTATGTTGGTCTATTATGGTACGTGAGAATGACCTCAAGAGACGGGGGAAGAATGTAGCAGCAGGAACGTGGACATGAGAAATGTTCAGCAATCATCTTCCCTAGTTTATTGGACAATAATGGTGATGGAGGGAAATATACTTTCAGACTTGCAAGGTTCTCTTAATACAACCTTACAAATACTGCTGGTTCTTCTGGGTGTGCTTTTTGTCTGGACTACCTAGCTAAGCTAACAGTAGTACATAAATGTTAGTGATCCAGATTTTTAAGGGATTCTCTTCTTTCCCATGCCTCATCATTATGTTCATGTCAAATCCATTCATAGTTCTACATAACATATAAGATTTAAATGATTATAGGATATAATTTAGCAAAAAGAATGAAAAGGCATTACTTTTTGTATGGCTTTTTTTAAATGCTGACAAGCAGAAGCAACATTGAATCAAGCGTTTTGACATCTTAGCCTACAACATTAACAATACATTCTTTAGATGTTCACACTCCATAATGCAATTCATAATTTCCCATTGCATATTATTTTACCATATCAAGTATGAGATCAAATAATGAACTATAAAAGAGTAACTGTTATCATTTCCAAAATCAACATTTCAGACCTTCTTAAGTGTACTTTAATAACTTTGTTGACTTCAAAGCCATTGATTAGGCACCCATGCATTATTTCTAGGTTACACATAAGGAAAGGTTACTCATGAAAGCAGCCATTTGACAGCATTGAACATGTTGGTGCCCTCCCAGCTTTGTCTTTAAATTAGGAACAAGTCTAATTGCTCTGTTGGTTTCAAAAGCCTATAATTAGACACCAGCAGACTCTGCCAAAACAGTATAAAAAGACCATTTGACAAGATATATTCTCCTGAATTTTATGCAGGAAATGTCTATCCCAAGCTCCTCTCTGCCATTTCTACAGCATCTTCTTGTAGTAAATTATCTCAGGTGTGCTTCTGTTGCTGAGTTGTGTTGCAGGAACAAACACGATCAATTTTAAAGGTCTATTTGTGACACATTAAATTGCAAATCCAAACTATAATCTAAAACAGTATAGAAGTTACTGTATATTTTTTACAATAATTGCAATATTACTAATGGCAATTTATTTCACCTGACATATTAACTTGTTACACATGCGCTTCAGCAGGTTCTGACCAATTCTGGAGAACCGGTAGTGGAAATTTTGAGTAGTTTGGAGAACTGGTAGTAAAAATTCTGACTGGCCCCGCCCCCATCTATTCTCTGCCTCTCAAGTCCCAGCTGATTGGGAGGAAATGGGGATTTTGCAGTAACTTTCCCCTGGAGTGGGGTGGGAATGGAGATTTTACAGTATCCTTCCCCTGCCACGGCCACCAAGCCACGCCCACAGAACCGGTAGTAAAAAAAGTTTGAAACCCACCACTGATGTGCTTCCTATTGAGTTTCATTTGCAATTACAAGTGCTGTTTTTAACTACATTGCTTGGCACCAAGAAAATCACCAGGACTCTGTACTATGTTTCAACCCAACTGATGTGGATCTTCTAGGAAAATCTATTCATGGCATAGAAGCAGTGAGTTGGCACAGAGGGAAGTACTTTGGAAACAATGTTTACTTACAACCTGTCTGAAATGAGGGGAAAGGAAGTCTACCCAGAAATATGGGGTAGATTTCTTCCTGCCTCTCCCTTAACCTTCTTATTGTATGTGGTTACATTTCAAAAGGTATTGAAAGGTATACAAAGGTATTGAAAAGGTATACAGTATTGACTGGATTACTGAGTTACTACTTCCCCAACTGAATAACTGTCTGACTCTTTACTGTTTCTTCATCATGTTGTGCCTCTTCTCAGCTCTTGTCTGGCAGAGATAGACATAAACAAAAACTGAAATCCAGAATTCTTGAGGATTCTTGGGGATTAATAGAGCAGAAGCCTGAGCTGCACCAGGAAGAACCATCACAATCCTGAAAATTGAAATGTTTATGAAATAAAATGTTTCATGCTGGCAGTTCAGTGTTATGGCAACTATAAATATTTAGATGTACTGTATTTGTGTTAATGATGGATTATTTCTACTATTAGATGAGTCACAGGAAACTTGGAGAGCAACATTCCTTCTGATTTTTGTTAGACTGTATATACAAGAGTTTTCTTTTCTTCTCAACTGGATTTCCAATGTCCACCTTGAGACAAAGATACTCAAGTATATGTCATATAATTAAAACAGACTTTTAAACACTTGCCTTAATTTTGATGAAAATAATTATACAACTTAGTAATAAACACGACACTACAAGAAAGCTTTCAAACTTCATACCACACAAAGCTTCCTATGGAAGTTTTTTTTCCAATTTCTTACTCTTTGTACACCAACTATATGTGATTTACTCAACAAATGATGCTTCAAGAACTCAAATTTTCATACACCTTCCTACGTTTTCACTATAATTCTCCAAGACCTTTGGCAGATATGGAAGCTAATGAAATTTGGCAGATACTGAAAAAAATATTTTTTTCCAAAAAATTACTTTTAATGTATTAAGACAATTGCATGGATACAATAAAAAAATAACTCTTTTGGCGTGCCCCCTACTGGGACCAAGTCTGATCTGTCTCCTCCCAGTTTGACCAGCAACATTGCAAGCCATTTAGCTTCTGCTGATGTTCCCATTCTACCAGCCAGTCCCACTGAAGGTGCCAGGAGTCTCACAGACTGTTGGCAGGAATGCAAGGGCAGGAACAAAACACTGAGATAAAGGGCTGAAGGAACCAGTGGGAAGTTCTCATGTAGTGCAAGCAAGGTTCCTGGGGGTGGGAATCATTCAGTTTCTTAATTTATTTCTCAATAAAGATGAAACAATTAACATTTCTTAGCAATACTGGTTTGCGTGGATCTATTATGCTTTACTTGTGCACAAGGTTCATGATCTATGCACATAAGCATATAGCTCAGAGATGGTATATAGCAGGTTCTGACCAGTTCTGGAGAATTGGTACTGGAAATTGTGATTAGTTCGGAGAACTGGTAAATACCACCTCTGACTGGCCCTGCCCCCATCTATTCTCTGTCTTCCAAGTCCCAGCTGATCAGGTGGAAATGGGGATTTTGCAGTAACCTTCCCTGGAGTAGTGGTGGGTTGCCCCCGGTTTGGACCGGTTCTATAGAACTGGTAGTAAATGGCACTTACCCCCTTCGAGATTAGCAAAAATGTACCCTAAAATGAGCCCCATATGTTAGAAATGTAAAAAAAAAGAGGTGGTCCCCTATGTGGTGGTCCTGTCCTGAGGCTCAAAAATATTGGCTAAAAATTAAAGATTGGCTACAGGAAATTACTAATGAACAATTAGACTTAGAACCGGAACTCTTCCTATTGGGAATCTTCAAAAAAAAAAAAAATGTGAAGGGCACAAAATATCTAGTACTACACATATTAACTGCTGCCAGGATTGCCTACGCTCAATGTTGGAAACAACCATGCACACCCGCAGAGAAACTGGTCATACAAAAGGGCATGAATTGCGCAAAAATGGACAAATTAACACTGAGTCTAAAAGATTAAGAGGCATCGATATTTGACAATGTGTGGGAACAGTGGTATAACTGGATAGAACGGAGATAGATTAAAGATAGATAGTTATTAAGTATAAGTAATAGATAAAATAAGAATGTAAATATGCACAATTTAATTTTTGTAAATAATGCACGAATTATCATCACAAGAAAAACACCACAAATAGCTGTTGTTGAGTGAAATAATTTTTTATGTTTTTAATGTAATAAAAGTTTAATAAAGTGTATTAAAAAAAAAGAACTGGTAGTAAAACCGGTGGGAGGCTCTGCCCACTGACCCCGACATCAACAAAGTTGATCTTCGCATGCACAGAAGAGTGCGCGTGCGTGCAAGTGTAACAAGCGCACGCATGGGGGCACAATGCAAACCAGTAGTAAAGTTAAGTAGAACCCACCCTTGCCCTGGAGTAGGGTAGGAATGGAGATTTTACAGTATTCTTCCCCTGCCACACCCACCAAGCCATGCCCACAGAAGTGGTAGTAAAAAATTTTGAATCTCACCACTGGTACAGCTCAGAAGAAATATTGCTAAAGTTGAAGAAATATTGCTGAGTTCTCCCTATTGTCATTTCACATCTGCTGAGAAGTTTCTGTATTTTTATTGTTTCTAATCTTAACCCTAACCATTCAGCTTTCAAAGTGAAGGATTCGTGCAGTTGAGAGCCATTTGTGGTTACTCATCACTTTCTATGACAGTTGCCTCCCTTCCTTACTAATTGTAAATCCAATGAATTCTTTGTGATAGGTTTTCAGATAAATATTCAAAGTTAAGGCACTGTAATATTCCAGCTTCCCTACTTTGGGATTCAATGACTTTGAATAGATTTTGTATAACCATAGACTAGTTTTAGAGTTTGGAATATTACCCAGCTTTGCAAAACATTCATGAATGAATTATGTGTCTTCTGTTACTGCTCACATATGCCCTCTAGAAATTTTTGCTTTGTGGATTTATTTGAAGAAATGATTAACAAACAATACATCATTGTGTGCAGTGGGGCAGAGAAGGTTGTTAAACCTTCTCTAACATTTCACACAATTCTTTCTCAAAATTATCAACTGGGAAATTGTTTTCCTTATCAGGACCTTTTTTTTCACTGGTACCTACAGGTCAAGATGGGGGTGAAGGAAATTGTAATCCAATGGATCAAGAAGTCATTTAATGGAGAAAGGTTGTCCCTGGTTTATTTTTGTTACAATAAATGGAAATATTTGCAGTAGAAATTTGCCAACTGGTTACACGTAAGTTTCTGTAAAATAATATTTTTTTAAAAAAACCACTTTAAAAGAAGGATCTCCATCTCCAACCTTGGCAACTTTAAGCCTGGAGGACTTCAACTCCCAGAATTCTGGGAGTTGAAGTCCGCCAGGCTTAAAATTGCCAAGGTTGGAGACCCCTGGTTTTAAAAGTGATTGAGATGTTTTTAGCATTTGGTGAGTGTCTATAATATAACCCTTAAGACTTGCTTTGGTGTTAAAGTAGGTTTCCTATCAATTCCTCTCTTCTTTGTACTATGGTGCTGGAGGAAGAAGATATAACCTTTTCCTCTGATTTGTACTGCAATTTAGTCAATATGGCCCCAAGATTAAACACTACTAATTTTGAGCAGAAGGACTGTCTTATCTGGAGATTAAAGGGCTGTTCCCCTTCACGGATTGTTATCTTATAGTGTACATTCCCAGAAGGGCTGTTCATGATGAACAGAACTGAGAACTTGTAACTGAGATCAGAATACAATTCATTGGAGAAGGAAATGGCAGCCCACTGCAACATTCTCCCAAGAAAACCCAAATGAACATTCATAAGTAAAACATAACTATCAACATGATATTGGAAAATGAGTTCTGAGATTGAAAGTATCCTGTGAAGTAAAGGGGAAGAGCCGGGGGCAAATGGGAACAGCAGTGGTGCTTCATGTGGTTAGATTAAAGCAAAAGGGATGGTTTGCCCCTGCATACTGACTGCAGGCAAAAGGAAAGTTGGATGCTGCAAAAATTTCATTGGTATGAGGAAAGTCAGAATCATAAATCAGGGCAAACTTGTCAGAGCAGAAGCATCAAGACTGAGCTTTCACATTCTGGGAATCAGTGAATGGAAATGTACTGGAGCATGTCACTTCAGATCAGAGGAGTATCAGATCTACTGTTGTCAGGAAAATCACAGAAGAAATGGAGGAGTTATTATTAAATAGCATCGTAATCAGGGCACAGATACAATCTCAAAAAGATAGAATGATCTCAATTCAAATCCAAGGCAAACCAATCTATATTATAGTGATTCAAATCTATGCTCCTAATACAGATGCAGAGGAAGCATAAGTTGAACAATTCTGTGAAGATCTGCAATAACTGGATGACAACCCCGCTCCCCTCATCCTGAAGATGCCATACTAATTTTGGACACTGGTATGCCAAAGATAGAAACAAAACAACATGTGGAATAACAGGAAAATTTGGCCCCCATGTGCAAAATAAAGCAGGAAACAGACTCATGGAACATTGCCAAGAAAACCCAATATTTGTGGCAAATACTTGGACAACATTGGTTGGACAATATCAAAATCAAGTTGGCCTGAAAATAAATTGAGACGCTCCTCAAAGAAAGACAGAACAGGTTCTGGTTCCAGCTGCAGCTTAGATCATAAACACCTTATAATATTTATGATTTCAAAGACACTATTACAAAGAAATAGTTACCGATGGACAATCCTGATACTCACTGGGCCACAAAAATATGGAAAGCCACTGAATGATTGAATCAAAAACAAAAAGGCTGCTTGCAAGAATAAGGTCCCTGAACCAATTTTACTTTTTTTAAAAAAGTTGGGGGAGGATAAATTGAACTCCCCAGGAGATGTCAAATAACCTGCTGTTGTTTCTTCTGGTAGTAAAATGTAAAATGTAGGAACAAAGTGAGGAGTGCCCATTGTTTATTTTGGCTTCCTTGAAATTAAGTCTTCCAAAGACACTACACAGTTCCTCAGTTGGCAACCATTACAGAATAAATAAACATTGCAAAAGAAGCTGGTCATAAGTTGGTTGAGAAGAACAATTCGTCTACAAACTTTTCAGCACAGTGAACTTTTGTTGCCAAACTTCTTGCACAGGTGGAGAAGTTATAATGCCAATCTGTTATATAACATCACACAAAAACTCATTTGATATATTACTCAAATGTACTTGTTCCGATTTGGGATTGTCCTGATTGTTCTTCTCTAAGTACTTCCTTATCTTTTGTTGTGTTTTATCCCAACAACCCTGCTGCTATAACTTGGGGGGGGGGGGTTAGCTTTGTTTTATCAGAATATATATGATGGGGGGAAAGGTTTCTGATACTTCTAGAACTATCTTTTTACTTTTTAAAAAAAAAAGTTAATTAATTAACAAATACTTCTATTATTTTCTTTATCTCAAAACATGGCTCTGGGCACCACAAACATGTTCTTAGACATGTTCTTGCAACAAAAATGTTTGGTTGCAAGCCAGCATGTAGTCAGGAAAAGTGATTATCTCCATGAGATATAGATGAGATGATAGATAGATAGATAGATAGATAGATAGATAGATAGATAGATAGATAGACAGACAGACAGACAGACAGACAGACAGACAGACAGATGATAGAGATGTGATAGATTTTCTAGGAACAGCATAACCATTTCCCCCCTCTTTATTTAATTGTTTGGATAATCTTCAGTTTAGTTAATTATTATTTCTTCTTCCAAAGCATTATTTGTTAGTTCACCTGAATTCCCTCTGAGCCCTTTTTAATAAGTGTCCAGTAATATTGATACTAATAGCCAGATATTAATAGCCACTGGTTGCCTTCCGTTTTACTAAAGAGACTGAGACACAGTTCCTTACATTCTTTATGCTCAGCACAGGTAGTTATTTTAGAGAAAGCCCCAAAAGTCAAAATGGCACCCACACAGAAGTCTCACAAATAAGCAATACTTTAATGGTACGAAAACTTATGACTAGGGTGAGTTCCCCATCAAACAAGAACTTGATAAGTGCTAGAAACACTCACTGGTCAGGAAATATGGATGGACTACTGTGGGAGGAGAGCTGAGTGCTTGGAATCCCAAGCTAGAAGTCCTTCACACTGTAATATTTCGAAACCATCCCAATTGTAACATCTGTTTCCCATCATTTTGATTGCAGAGGACAATGGACTTCAAGGTGACTCCAGTTCTGGCTTTTGTGCATCAAGAATGAAAGGAAACTTACAGAACTCCTGTTTTAAGATTTCTGAAGAATGGATGGAGAGCCTTTTACTTCCAATTTCTTTTCCTCTGGAAACTTCCCTTCTGAAATTGGCATTACCTTGGAACAGAAGACGACCTTTGCCTTTGTGCTTTTATTGTTTATTTTCCTTGGTGTTCTCATTGTCCGATGTTTTCGAATCCTCTTAGACCCTTACAGGACTATGCCAACTGCCACCTGGACAGATGGGCTGGAGGGGCTAGAAAAAGGACAATTTGATTATGTTTTAGCTTAGAGCCAGAAATGTAGCTACTTAGAAACATTTCTTGTTCTCACACAGGCAAAATAAGCTAAAATTGGATGTATATTTGGGAAACATGGTGAGCATTTGATGAAAAAAAATCTCTGGTTTTATCAAGGCTAGATATTACCCAGCTGGAAAAGGATGACGGACATAATTTCTGGTTTGTTTTTGTGTCAAACTAATTGATTTGTAAGAACTTCAATTCATATCAGTGCCATGTAAGACTTCAATCCTGTTCACAAAGTAAGCGACTTATCTGGTGGCATGATTTATTTTGAGACGAATGCTGATCTAACCTGAAATCTATCTAGTGACAGATTTAAGAATCTAGTCAACCTTGCCTGATCATACAAATGAAGCAGGGTTAGCTTTCATGACTCCATGGAAGTCCAAGCTCCATTGATAGACTGGATAATTGGGAGGGGGGGGAGACATATCCCAGAAGAACCCAAAGTTAACTACAGATAGTCCTTGAGTTACGGCCACAATTGACTCCAAAATTTATGTTGCTAAGTGAAAAGTTTGTTAAGTGAGTTTGCCCCATTTTACAACTTTTCTTGCCACAGTTGTTAAGTGAATCATTGCATTTGTTAAGTTAGTAACATAGTTGCTAAGTGAATCTGCTTCCCCATTGACTTTGCTTGTCAGAAGGTTGAAAAAGGTGGTCGCATGACCCTGGGACATTGCAACCGTCATAAATATGAACCAGTTGCCAAGCATCTGAATTTAGATCATGTGATCATGGGAATGCTGCAATGATGGTAAGAGTGAAAAGCAGTCATAAGTCACTTTTTCCAGTGCCGTTGTAACTTTGAACGGTTACTAAATGAATTATTGTAAGTTGAGGACTACCTGTACTTTTTTAACAGTGCCAAGAGAACTGAGAGAATCAGCAGAAGTCAGCTTCAGGGTCTATGAAGGTTTTGATTCATCTTCTCACCTTCAGAGCTGCTTCCTTACTTCTTCAGGAAGGATAAAAATAAGCAGCAGAAAAGAGCCATAGGAGTACTATGAGGCTCCAAGGGATAGCAGAAAGCACCAGCAGGAAGTAGGCCTGGGCTAGGCATGTGCCTGTTTCTGGCAAGCTTTGGTGTCAGCCTTGGCAATCCTTTCAGCTTGATGGAACAACAATGCATCACCTGTTTTGCAACAAAAGGCTCACTTTGAAAGCTGCAGGTAAACAGATGCAAATATGGCATAAGCTTACAGTAAGCTGAAATTTATCTACCCACACTTGGAAGCTGCAGGTAATCAGATGCTAATATGTCATAATCTACTCACACTTGACATGAAGCCAAGTTTTATTTTATGCTCCCTGGTTACCAAAAGGAATTGGGTCTCAGCTCCTTTTTATATAAACTTTTTGTACAGCTGCTCTTAAATAAATGGTCGCATTGCCTGCATCTGTTCCAACTCTTTGCGCTGTACTAACAGAAGATGTTGCTTGCACAAAGTAATTTGTGTAAATAATGATTGTTTTATGACCTATTTACATTAAGGGTCACGTCAAACCATCATGTGAAGTTAAACATTTTCTCTCCTTTTCCTGTTCTTTTCTTGTTATATAAAGATTTTTGTGTGTAAACGAAACAAACAATGGAACATGCTTTGATTTCTACTACAAACATGTTAGTCATTAAAAGTCTAGACTCCTACTTTGCTTAGGCATTCAGAAATTTTTGGAGATGGGATGGAGATGGAGTCTGATTCTAAAGCAAGGAAACCTACCAGTGGTGGGTTCCAAGCACTTTAACAACCAGTTCATCCTAAAGACCGAGTGGGTGCAGTTGGGCGGGTGTCATGTGACTGAGTGGGCATGGCCAACTTGATGTCACTCACAGCAAGGTGGGGCAGTGCAGGCAGGGTGAAGTGGCATTGGCCAGAGCCTTAGACTTACCTTTGTGCAGCAACAGCAATGGTGATTCTCTGACACCTCATCTCTTGCTGGGTCTCACTGCCTGACAGTCAGGATTTTAAAAAAGGTTTTTTCAGTAGCAAACAGTGGACGGCTACTTCTGGCTTTTGTTGGTGCAGCTGGGCACACGACCCTGCCCCGAGCACTGGCCTGCAGCTGCCGGCGGTCTTTTTCAGCATGAGAAGCCTGCAGCTGCCCATTTTTGCTGGCACAAAGGGCCTGCAGCCGCTGCCTCTTTGCCAGCCAGAACCAAGCTGGGAGCGGTGGCTGGAGGATTCTCACACCACCAAAGAGGTGTCAGCTGCAGGATTCTTGTTGGGGGGGGCATGGTGAGACTCAGTCGCCTTTTGGGCCCTGCTCTGGGCTGCTGCCTGCTTGACCTCCTCAGGTACTGCATCCAGTCAACGACAAGGGGATATGCCGCTTCCAGGCCAGCCTGGCTGGAGGATGGGTGACCAGGCGGCCTTCAGGGGAGGCATTTTCTCTCAGGTCTCGCACACGAAAGGCCCCGTGGAAGCGGAAGCTGGGCCTAAAAGGCAGCCTCACCTCACTGTGTGTCTCCCCACCACCAAGGCAGTCCTTCAGCTGAGCGCAGCAAGCCCAGAGCAGATCTTCCTTCCTTGCCATCAGCCTTGCCTTCTAGCCCATGGGGCTCACATCGTTCTCACAGTGGCAGCTTGGCATGCGGGAGGAGGCCTGGGGAAGGCCAGAGCCAGGGACTGGCACATCTCCCAATCTGAGGCAAAGGGCGAGCGGGTGGCATGCAGGTGGAAGGATGGTGAGAGCCAGGCCCGAAAGGCAGCCAAGCCTCACTGTGTCTACCACGAGGTGGCCTTTCGGCTGAGCACCTTACCTTCGTGGGCAGCAGAGCAGCCGAGGTGATAAGCAGAGCAGCTGAGGTGCGGAGATCAGCTGGGCCACATGGTCTGGGTGAGTGAGCAAAGGAGCCAGAGAGTATCTGGGCATGGGCATGACTCTAGCCACCTGCCAAGATGGGCGAGGCAAGATAGGATGGGGTGGGGTGGGTAGGGTGAGCAAGTGGTGGGATTTGCCTGCTTGCCACACTGCGCAGAATCTGAACAACCGGTACGCCCGAATCGGTGTGAACTAGCGGCAGCCCACCTCTGAAACCTACCCATGATTAGAAATCCAGCTGTTGGGGTCTATGATACAAAATTCATATCTGGTGTACAGTACTATTTTGGGAGCATAAAAACTAGCAGCAATCAGTTGCAAGTGAAATGGTCATTATTTTGGGAAAACCTGATAGAATTCAGCACTGATATTTGTATTTGCCTCCCAATCATACTGTCAATCTTTCAGAACAAGAATAATACTCATTTCATATGCTGTAACAACTTTTGTTTGTTTTCAGAAAAGGGTACTGTACATAACTGTTGATTGGGAGCTGCCCAGAGTTCTTTATAAGGTGAGCGGTTATATAAATGATTTCAATAGCTATATAAATAAAATAAATACATAACCATCCAGAGCTTATTCTAAAAGGGCCTGACACAATAGCCCCAGGCAAACTCTATGATGGGGGTAGGCAACAGCGCCTGGAACTTCACTGAGCCTATGAGAGTTACCCTTGATGGTGTTCTTGACTCACCAGAATATAATTCTTTAGATTGTGTTAAATAAAAATACAGACATGGATACATATAGAGCAAGGGTGTTAAACTTGTGGGCCGTGGGCCGGATGCATCACACACTGGCCACGCCCACCCCCATTTTAGTGAAGGGGGGGGAAAGTTACGATATGCCACATGATGACAACGTGACAATGTGAGTTTGACACCCCTGATATAGAGAATATATAGAAAAAAAGAGGAGCTGATATCTGTAAAGCAAGTGCCATTCTTTGTCTACAAGAATACCCTCTGTGTTTTCTATTTCTCTTAGAAAATATAAATGGTGGGTATCTACAGACCAATGCTTTCTTTGGCCATACTGTATGCCTCACTTATTCAGAAAAGAAAGACATTCTGTGAGCTTAAAAGGAACACCTTTGCTAATTCGGTTTCTGGTAAATGAGTGCTTTACAATTGGCCATCTCCAAATAAGACTAAGCCTCACACCCGTTCCGGCAAACCAGTGAAGGTGTCCGGGACAACCTTCAAAAGTCCAGATATATTCCTTGACTCAAAAAATGCGGCCTATGTCTGCCCTTCCATACCAACTGCATAGCCAATGTTCACTGTTGTTTAATTTTGATAGATGGCACTTTTGCATTAGCTGGTCTGAGGACACTGCCAATCTTTTTGGAGTCACGCGTCCCTTGGGAATTTTTTGCACTCAGGAATGTTTAATGATTCAGATGAGTTCCACGTTTCACAGTGCAGTGATGCCAGCCTTGTCATCTCATGTCCTGGACTATTTATTCTTCCAAGAGATATGTAATAGGAGTCCCAGCCTTCCATCTGAATCTATTTGTTATTAGTAGGTTTTAACAGCTCATTATGTTGGCTTTATATCTTTCTTCTAACTACTTCAGTCCACATCAAGAATAAACACTGTAGAGAATGCCAAGCAGCCGAACTTAATAAAAAATTAAGTAAGGGTAGAAAGAACTGGTATAACTCTTGCTGTCTTCATCCCTGTTCTTTGCAGCACAGATAGAATTATTAAAGGCTGACAATGTCAACAAGAGATCAGAGTTATTTACAACTGGACATAACACAGCCACAAAAGGCTTGGTTTTTTTGCTTTCAGAAATAGAGCAAACAGAAAAATTATCTTGTATTGCTTTGTTTTCAAATCAGGTCTCATCCAATTTGATCCATGATAATTCATTTTGATGTTTTTTTTCCCCAAAAGAAGAGAATTTCAGATAAATTCTTTGGGTGAAATTGGATATTCTCCAACTTAGTTAAGAGACGGTCTGGAGGCATGGGTGAAAATTCTCTCTTTTGTTGCACAATTATCTCTCTGAAGCCTTGCAGCTTCTGTATGTTACAATTAAAACCCAAGAAAAGATACTATAAGGGAAATCTTCCTATTAATTTTCATCAGCAGTGGTGCTACCACTAATATTAATATTAATGGAAAATTGTGTCCTTGGGAAATGATTCAAGAATCTTCCTCGCAGAAATTTGGACAAATTATCTACTTAATATTTACCTTATAAATTGTTTTCAGTGATGCTTAGTACCAAAAAAAATTATTGTTGATGACAATAAATATGGTAATACAGGTAGTCCTCAACTTACAATCATAATGACCATCATGGTCGAAAATCACCATAGCAATTAAATGAGGTGCCGACATGGTCATTTTACTTAATGACTCCAGTCTCTGCTTTCCCCATTTTGGTCACTAAGCTTTCAAGATGGTTCCACATGACCTCCACTATACAGGGCAGCCAAGGGGCAGATTGGCTAGATTTTCTTCTCAAATGTGATCTCCAGAGATTGCACTGAAGAAGGAGAACTGGCTGCTCCATCCCTTAGTCTCCTGAAAGCAGGTATCATTTTGGAGCAACCACAATTCATTGCAATTGCTCCCAAAATAGCACCTGCTTTTGAGATGGCATTGTGTGGCCTCTGCTGCACAGAAAGGTCGCATGGCACTTTGCTTCCCAATGATCTACCCAAAAAGGTAAGTAACGAGTCAGAAATGGGAGGTGGACAGGAAGATGTGGGACCCAGAGGGTTGGGAAGCAGGCACAAGGCCTGCAGGGACCTAGCAGGAGAGGATGGAGTTAATAGTTGGTGGGGACGCTGTTACATCTCTGCAGTTGGTTGTAAGGGTGGATGGATTGCTAAGCACACAAATTGTATTCACATGACTACAGGGGCCCTGCAGTGACTATAACTTGAGGCAAGGTCATAAGTTCCAAGTTTAGCACCATTGTAATTGCAGTTGCTGAATGGCCCTAAGTCAATGACTACCTGTAATTGTGCAAATGCAAATAACATACACATTTTGGGGTTATGTAAATAACCACTAAGGGACATGGTGGCTCAGTGGCTAAGACACTGAGCTTGTCGATCGAAAGGTCAGCAGTTCAGTGGTTCGAATCCCTAGTGCCGCTTAACGGGGTGAGCTCCCGTTACTTGTCCCAGCTTCTGCCAACCTAGCAGTTCGAAAGCACGTAAAAATGCAAGTAGAAAAATAAGGACCACCTTTGGTGGGAAGGTAACAGCGTTCCGTGTGCCTTTGGCATTTAGTCATGCCGGCCACATGACCATGGAGATGTCTTCGGACACCGCTGGCTCTTCGGCTTTGAAACAGAGTTGAGCACCACCCCCTAGAGTCGGGAACGACTAGCACATATGTGCGAGGGGAACCTTTATCTTTAAATAACCACTGATAACCAGTTGGTGTAATGGTTAAGGCACTAAGCTAGAAATAAGGAGACTATGATTTCAGTCCCCCATTAGGCACAAAGCCAGCTGGGTGTCTTGGGCCAGTCACTCACTCTCTGCCCTAGAAAACGGGCAATGGAAAACCACTTCTGAAATCTTGCCAAGAAAACTGGAGGGACTTGTCCAGGCAGTTGCCAGGCATCAATATTGACTTAATGCCACATACACAGATACTTCCCCCCCCACACACACACAATCATTATTATCTTTAGCAGTTTCAGGATTCTGGAGGGCCAGAAGTAAAAGGGTAACTGATGTCGAACAGACTTGCCTCTCAAAAGTTATGTACCATTGAATTTTTATAACTGGTTTTTAAACAAGGCATCGATAAACAATGACTATCTGCACAGAAGATAGTTACTATGAGA